GGGTTATCTTCATATATTCATGTTCATGTAGTGTAAAAACAATTGCTTTCAAAAGAAATCCCTCAGGCAGAACACGAATATATAAATATACACCGCCAATGATCAGTATAGCTACATGGGCCTGGCCTGCAAATACAAGTTAATTTGTATGAATGTGGTCATTGTGGTGTTTCATAAATATAATGTTAGTACACAAAGTTACCTTTCATCAAACATATGCTAGATTACTCTCATAAGCATTCAATGCTTTCAGTTTACGACGAACATAATCCTATAAAAAATGAGATATATGTTAAACCATTAAGGCACAATCCCTCCTGGTGCACTTACTATGTTATTTTACACTGTACACAGCTTTAATAGTGCCTCAAGAAATTTAACACAAAAAGAAAATTCACACTTTGAAAGCAAGAAAGAGAAGCCAGGGTACCCGAGCTGGTCTGGTTTTGGAAAGACACCACCTTTGGTATTATTTCTTGTCAATTGTCCAATTTAATCTTGCGATAACATGAGAACTGAGCTGACCTGCCCAAGCATAATGGCCTACCTCAACTGTAGTAGGCTGTGGCCAGTGGTTGGATACCCGGGCTGGTCTGTCTCCATATATGAAATACAGCACTACGTATACTATAGTACAATAGACACTTAATCCTTGCCTTGTTAACCTAGGTTGTGAAGAGTTTTGTGATTGTGATATGCACTTTGGAATAATGCACTTTGGAATAATGCACTTTGGAATAATGCACTGTTTTGTCCGCCTGAGGAAGGATGACATACACAGGAATTGACTTGAGTTCTCGCAACTTGAAATTTCTTAATAGGGGAAAATTTGACAAAGATTGACTAAAAAGTGGTGCTTTGCAGTGGAGCTTATTGGCATACATACAGTAGCAAAATTGAAACTGTCAAATTCCCCTACTGTAGGTATGCCTGTCCTCCCTGAGTCAGGCATAACACAACAGTGCAGATCAGAAATATATTGCATAAACATATAACTTGCACGTTTTGCCTGCCAAGGGCAAAGAGAAGGGTTCTATAATATTTATACAGTAAATCTGGTATATACTGTAGTATTTTTAGTAGTGATTTGCATGTAATCAATTATTAAACAGCATCTATGACTGAGTTCAGCAATCTTGAATTAGCCTTTGAATATTTGGCGCAATTATTTTAGAAGCCTAAACTTTCATTAAATCAGAGCGTTCTATACCAAATGACATGTATACACAATTTATCAGATATAAGTACAAATGCTTACCCTGCATAGCTTTGGCACTCGAATAGCTCTGGCTGGACATGTTTGGCGAACGTGTCTCGCGGTTCTGTTTGACAAATTGTCCATTTTATCAACCTTATTCTTCATATCTTCGATGGACAACTTCATCTGGTTTATAGTCGTCTTTAATGTTAACTGTTGTCGTGAGAGCCTGTTCTCCTGGCCGACGTTTTGTAGTATATAAACAGGACATATTGGTCAGATAACGACACAGCCATATTTATATTACAATACGAGACTTGCTGAAGTTTAGCTCAGTAACTCAAATGTACTTTGGATGGACGAAAACCCTGTTTGTGAACCTTGAATGATAGTGATGGTTAAACCTCATCATAAAAATCCAAAATTGAGTGGGAATTAACAAAATATCTTCCGATTGGACGAGTATATGCACAACGGAATGCCATCCTGTTTGTCAAATAACTCAAATTACATGTATACTTTCACGGGGTCTAAACTGGTTTCGACAAGCAACATCTGGCCAAAAATTCGCTCAGTAGAACACTAATATACCATCATCCATAAAATTGACATTACTTGCACAACTGCAGATAGAAATAACAGTTATATTTGGTCAAAATTTGCCATTCCAGTACTGTAAAATATACAGCAAGCGAACAGACAACTGTTTGACCGACCCGAGGGAGGGAGGGGAAGGTAATATTTGTGCAGCAATATGTAAACAAAGCGCGCAGGAATTTACACTTGATCATCAGGAAGCAAGGACGGCAAATCTCAAGAAATAATATGCTTTTTCTCTGTTTCGTCTGGTCGTATGAGCTTACGTAAAGTCGGTTGAAATGGCGCATTTTAACACGACATTCCACACAGCGAGTGCCGCACTTGCTTTTACATGGGATACGTCACAATCTGGGAGAAATCTCAGTGCAACCAGCGAGACAGAGTGAGCATATATCTTAGAAGCTAGGTCGGCTTTCCAGGCCGAACACGATCGAGGAATTCGTCGTAAAAGACGAAAAATAATTAAACGAGAAAGAGCAAGAGAGATATACAGGGATGTTTAAAAGAGAAAAGAGATCTGAGAGGGAAAGAAAAATGCAGGAGATTTATTATCGAGCACGAAAATAGGAAGAAAATAGAAGCTAGTCGGACTTGTTCGTGTACGTACACAAAGAGGGGAACGTGCTGTTGACTTCTGGCGACTGTGGGACAAAGAGAAAATGTTACGCAGTACGAGCAACATGTGAGTAAAATAGCATAAATTTATACATTCAAAACTAGTCAAAACTGTACTTCTCGTAATACCATCCGCATATTTTAAAGACAGTGTCCTATAAATACGTGAAGTATCGTAAAGTTCCTGAAACCCGAAGCTATTATATATTATATATTTCGAATTTCCCAATTTAATACCCACACTGAAACAATTATAACATGTAATACTACAGATATACTCGATAAATGTATAGTGTTCTATACTGAATTCTACAGATCCGCAGACGTAGGTAAACAATAATTGCATGTCTAGTGACTAGTGTTTCTAAGCAGGGCATTTTTAAAGAATTTGTCAGTGGGGGGTGGCATCTACAAAAAGGGACCATACTATACCGATTGTGGAGAAATGATAGATGGTTTGTTGGTAACAAAAAGTTTGGTGTGGTATCGCATTTAATAGTAGGGAGGGGGTGGGGGGCATCTGGAGGTATTCTCCTCCAGAAAATATTTGTATTTTTCTATCCTATGACTGCAATTCCCTGCATTTTCTGAAACAGATTTTTGGATATACAGCATTACATTATACTGTAGATAGACTGAACCTTCAGTTATGTACTTTCATACTATGTTTATGCAGGGGTCATCCTAAGAAAATTTTAGAACTGCCCATTTCGACAAGAACAGAGGTAGTGAACACAGGCTAACTATGTGACAGACAAGGTTTATGCATTAATCACTGTGCCAGAAACTCCCCTTCAATGAGACATTTTTGCCATGGCGTATTGGATACCTCAATAGGCTAGGAGGGTCCTTGGGACAATGATCCCTTGGAAAATTTTGAATTTTAAAAGTCCAGAATGGTCATTTTATGCATTTTCAGAGTGCAAGCTGGATTTACGTTTGCCTTAAATATCCTATATAACTGCTTAATGTATAATTAATTTTCATATAAAGCTCAAAAAACTGGATTTTAGAACTGCCCATTTTAAGTTTTAGAATTACCCATTTTACATTTAGAACTACCCATTTTGGAAAGTGGGAGGCCTTAGGATGACCCCTGTGTTTATGTAGATACCACAACTTGGTCACTCAGGGAACCAGCTTGATAAACTTAGAGGGCCTGATTGATTTTGGAAAATTTTATGCTGCATGTAAGAATAAGCCAGTCTTACACACAGGACATGCAGTGGAATATTATTTCAAATTAACATGATGAATTAGCAGTATATTGCTTTGGTTGCATTCAATTAATATATTGTACATAAAATCTCACTGTCTTTAAGCTTTTGAATGAACTATACAAACAAGATCTTTATGCTGGCTAGGTCAATCTGGAGTGACCATTTTATGAGATCTTCAAAGAAACCTTATCAGTGAGTGACTGTTATTGCATAGTTGAATTCAATTTAGCTCCATTGTGAGTTTTTCTAAATTTATGTTTACAAATTATTTAACTATGAGAATAAATGGACTGCGGCCAACAAGAATGTGAATTTTTGAAAAGGTGTATATCTTCTAGTCTTCTTGCTTTCTGATACTTCATAATAAAGCAATGAAGAGTCTATACTGGTATGGTTTGAATATATTGTATTATGAAATCTCACTTGCTATATATAAGCTTTTGAATGAACTATACAAACAAGATCTTTATGCTGGCTATAGGTCAATGTGGAGTGACCATTTTATGAGATCTTTAAAGAAACCTGTGAGTGACTGTTAAAGTCGAATTCAATTTAGCTGCATGGTGAGTTTTGCTAAATTTATGTTGAAACGGAGAAAGCCAACAGGAATATAAATTTTTGTAAAGGTTTATATCTTCAAGTCTTTTTGCTTTCTGATACTTCATGATAAAACAACGAAGAGTCTATATTGCTATGGTTTGAATAAATTTTCTAAGCATGATGAGAAGAACCTGCAACCTACAGGATGCAAAATTTATGCACATGCATGTTTTTCATACAGTCTTCCTAAGCCAATTTAATTGAGATGAGGAGTTTATATATTGATTTGGTATGAGTATGTTGTATTAAATGTTAGGTACTTTATATTAGGTCTAGTATGCATGACCGTCAATCATACACCTATATATCTTCATATTTTATGATTGTGATCCTGGCTGCAGTATATATTTGCTATACTGTATGTTTGCATTTTTGCAATGTTTTGCTTAGATTTTGGTAACCTAAAGTTATAAAACTTGCAACTGACTGATTACAATTGTAACAATGACAATGTCAATGGTACTGACAACCTCATGTTAATGCATGCTATCGCCTGTTATATTCTGGCAATGTGCACTATAATATCAAATGTTTTCATAAGTAATACATATATTTATAACCTCCATTTTTAATAGAATTGTACAAAATGTCCCTGCAAGCAAGTTGTTCATTCTGCAGTGTGTCCCAGTGGTCTCCACTTCGACCCCTGCTAAGATCTTCTATTCAAATTGACCAGAATAAATAATCCTCATCAAAAGTCTATGTACAGTACATGTACTTCATTGTACGAAATGAAGCATAGCTAACCGTGCAAGTTTGCAACAAATAAATTCAGGTCTAGTTTGTGAACAGTGTGGTTTCATATTCATCTGGTACGATGTAAACGTAGTCTGAGTTTAACATTTTGGTTCAATTCCGTTCTCTGAAACATTGTCAAAATAAGCAATGAAACAAAACACCGCGTCACAGGTTTACAATCCTGATTAAGGTGGCTCCCTACAATTTTTGAAATATGACAAAATCGTGATTTAGATTTAATTTTTTGAAGAGAGGTTTCTTTTCAGAAGACAAAAATTGTACCACATATATTGAGCAATTGTCCAAGAGTTGAAAATTGTTTACAAAAACGATGTCGTTACCGTTGTTATATATGGTAACAATGACGTATATGGCCGACATTTTACCTTTTAACACATTTTACTCGAAAAAGAGTAAACTTGAGTAAAGTACATTATAATGTGGCTTTATCAAGATTTAATTGTTTTTGTAAAGGCAACTAAGGCATATCATGATTAAAGATGTATTTAAACAAGTATTAAATGTCGATAAAGTTCGAACACACCTTTAATGCCTTTAAACACAGTTGTGTACGTTTAAAGATACCTTTAGCAGATTTACTCAATTTGTAATGGTCAAAAAGGTATGGATTCCGTCCTGTGGGTTTTTCTGTGAAGTTGTGAAAGTGTATCAACTTCGGCTTTGGGCTGCGTTGTTCATGCTTATTTTTATTTTGTTTTTGGTTCATATACAAGACAAAAGCCGTATTTATATTTGTATGTTTTTTCTTTTTGGCGAAATGAGCTAGAAAATGTAGAATTATGCCTCGTAAAAACGCTACTTTCTACAAGCGATTCAATGTTGGGGAGTACATACGACAAAAAAGGTTTGGCAGTTTAAGAGAAAAGCAAAAAAGCTAGAAATACGGCTCAGAAGCTTAAGCGATTGGATGTGAAGGTAAGAGACATTTTCATATATTTTTGTATTTTTTTTTATTAATCGAGTTTCTGATCTATCATGATGGTGTTTGTACTGTTTCAATATATGTTATCATATATTGAACTGACATACTATAAATCACATTTATTATTGCTTTGAGGATGATTTGTTTGCACACAATTTATAGTGTGTTTATATCACTTGTGATATACCTATTTATAGACTATAAACCCTACACTATATAGCCCAATGCATAGTGAGCTTCATGATCAATAAATACTCAAATTATCTGGAAGACAAAATTAATGAACACCCAGAAAGCAGCATGAAAATACTACATGTCATATGAAAGAACATTCTGGCTGCTAGTCATCCATACACTTTGAATATTATGTGTTCTTTGGTGGGAATTGAACCTGCAGCCCTAAAATTCAGGTGCAGCACTCTAACCAACTGTCAGCTACAGAGTCCAGTTGTCGAGCTCTAACCACAAGTACATGTATATACCAGGTACTGCCATGTTAAGCTATGGGTGAATAACAATATTTTGTTGACATCTCACTTCATTGAATAATAGTTGGTTACAGCAATACATACTGGATCTAGTGATTTGACATTCACGTAAAGACTACTGTGACTCTCGATGATGAAGAATATAGTAAAATTTACTGAATCGATCACATGCCTTCTACTTTAAACATTGGCAAATATTGCCATATGAGAACTAAATAGAATACTTAAGTATATAGGATCTGATTGAGTATTTTAGCTTGATAAGTTGGCCATTTTACAACTCAGCAACATTTTTGTTATTGAATTTTAAATTGACCTTTGACGTGTAAGAAGTGAAAGGAGAAGATCATCCCAAGAATGTATGATGAAGATTTGAAGAAATATGAAGATTCAACTGACAATATGTTAAGATCTATTGCAGTATATTATAGTAAGGGCATAATGGGTAAAGATGAGTATATGAGAGTTTATAAAGCTAGTTCATATAGGCAGAAACCAGGTAAAAAGCGGGCTGCACATATTAAGGTTGCCAACTGCCCTTCCCACAGGTTAATGGCATATATAAAATCCATTGATATTGGTCAGTTGCACAGTGTCCATGAGAATATGTGTAATCGGTTGGATGAATGTGATAAGGTTAATGGTTGTTATAGGGACATTGAAGATCTTCTAGTGAAGTTGGCCAAGTTTTATCTAAATCATGGTAAGTACAATCTCCTAACATTTGACCACTTCATATTGCATTGGGTGGAGACGGTACCCCTTTTGGAAGGGATGACTCGGCATGTTCACGGTTTGTCAGTTTTCTCAACATCGGCATGTTGAGTAGTAATGAAAATTTTCTTCTTTTGGGCGCAAATTGTGCAGAGAACTGTTTGCCGGTTAAGCATTTCTTGGGTAAGTTAATGACTGACATTAAACAAAGTCAGAGTTAAGGGAGAAAGCATTGATGTTAAATTTGTGTTTGCAGAACTGCCAAATGACATGAAAATGCTTGCTTTCTTAGCTGGGAGCTCACTAACAGTGCAACTTACTTTTCCACTTTTGCAGAGGCAGAACAAGGAGTCACTGACAAAGATTGGAACCTTTGGTCACAATGCATCTGATACTTGGAAGCCCTGGAAGTACTCGGATAGGGTTAAAGTGATCAACGCCATTGAAAAATTCAAAAAGAAAATAAAGCATAAAACTGTTTCAGCCAACACCAAAAGATCAAATATAACATTCATTGCCAAGCAGAAAAACTGGCAAGAATTTGTCCCTTTGGTGGCTGAATCGGTTGACTGAGCACATGTTGAACGGCTTCATTTAAAAAAGAATGCCTGTGCATTAGCCCATTGTTATCTTTTAAATCAAGCGATTGAAATGTCTAAACCTGATTTATCAACTTCTTTTTCTCAGGTTCCACCTCAGAAACTCTATTTTTCAAGTTAATTGATGTTTTAAGATCCAATTGTTATTTGAATAGGCTGGCGAAGGGGATTGTAAGATAGTATGATGATAATGCTAAGACTGATGCAAGGACGTTCAATTATCGATTTACAGGTAAGGACTCGCGAATGTTTTTACATAATTTTATGTTTCTCATTAATGTACTTGAAAATGGTGTTTCTGGTAAAGCTGCTGAATTGCTTCATGTGCATGCCTATCTCTGGCTTTGCTTGCAAAATGCTGTTTCTTTGTTCAGTCGTGTGAACATTACAGATGAGCAAATACTAGAATTAAAACAACACTTTGGATATCTTTTAAACCTTTCTGTGAAGAATTGCCATTTTTTATTTGATGGTGTTTTATACAAGCAGGTTGACGGTGTAGCAATGGGTTCACCCTTAGGTCCATTGTTTGCTAATATATTCCTATCTTTTCATGAGAAATCCTGGTTAGCTGACTGCCCTTCTCTTTTAAGCCTATATTCTACCGTTGATGATTGTTTTCTTATTTTCACATCATGTGACCATGTTACTCCTTTCCTCTGCTATCTAAACTCGAAACACCCCAACATTCAATTTACTCATGAGCTTGAAAGTCATTTGTGCCTTCCTTTTCTAGATGTCAAGGTCATTCGATCTAACAGTTCTTTTCTCGCTACCATGGTTCATCATAAATCTACTTCCACCAGATTGTTTACCAATTTTTACGGTTTTATTCCAATGCTGTACAAGAAGGGCTCACTTTTCTCTCTTATTTCTCGTTATTTAAACATTTGCTCTTATGTATTTTTCCATTCTGAAATGGAAAAATTCAAGAAAACGTTTTCTCTTAATGGTTATCCTGCAACACTTGTTGATAGTTGTATCAAATCATTTCTTGATAAAATGTATAACTCTCGATAAAGTTCATACTTGCTCTAAAAAGGTTATATATTTTTGTCTTTCTTTCACTGGTCATCATGGTTTGCAACTTCTATCACAACTTCAGAAATTTCTTTCTTCTGCTTATCCACATATTTCCTTAAGTGTCGCCTTTCGTCCTTCTTTCTGTCTTTCGAACTTCTTTCCATTTAAGGACAAAATTCCCTGTGAACTGAGATCGCATGTTGTGTATTTGTATAAGTGTCAATGCTGTGGTGCATTGTATGATACTGCTCTTACTAGCAGGGGATATTGAGACATGCCCTGGTCCTTGCCTTAAATGTAACTGCTGTTGTAAAATCATCAGAAAAAATCAAACTACAGGATGCTGCTCAATTTGCGAAAGTAAGTTTCATATGAAATGGTTATTGGACATGGTCGATAAGCAAGGAAAGGAGAAACTTTACTGCCCAAGTTGTGCACCCATCGAACTAGACGAATCGTGCAATACAAATACGAACAGCACTTGCATTTTCGGAAAGCTTAATGATTTTGGAAAGCTTAATGATTTCGGAAAGCTTAATGATTTCGTAAAGAACAAAGGTCTAAAGATATTCCACCAAAATGTAAACAGCTTAGTTAGGAAGATCGAAAAACTGCGGCTAATGCTGCAGGAAACAAGTAAACGTATACATATTTTTGGCATTACTGAATCGCATCTGAACAAAAACATACAAGATAGTGAGGTCGCTATTAGCGGTTATAATTTTATCAGGAAAGATCATAAGAATGGTTGTGGTGGTGGGGTTGGTTGCTATATTAGAGATGATATTAAGTGGAAAAGGAGATCAGACTTAGATAAACAATCAGTCGAGGCGTTATGGATCGAAATATTTTTTCAAAATTCCAACTCTATCTTGTTATGTATAATCTATCGTCCTCCTGACTCGTCAAAATACCTTGATGCAAATTTTGAGAATAACTTTGAAGAGATAAATAGCTTAGCAACTGAAGAAAGAAAAGAAACTATTGTCATTGGGGACCTAAACTGCAATTATCTAAACAATGGAGACCACAAATCAATAAAGCGTATCCTCCAACTTCATGGTTTTAAACAAATTATCAAACAACCCACGAGAATTACACCGAGATCAACATCCTTAATTGATATTATATGCACCACACATGAAAGCAGGATTCCTGAGCATATAGTAATTGCAAATTCCATCAGTGACCATGATCTCACCGGCATAACAAGAACTAGGGATCCAAGGATAGTGTGAAGTTTCAAATTGATAAAGACACTGCAAGAACTATATAGGGTTGCCGACAACCTAGAAAGGCTGATGGCTTACACTACAAAATAAACAGTTACCAAAGGCATTTCATCTCATTATCTATTTTATAATGCGTTCGGCACATGAGTAGCGCGACGTTTGAAACAAGCCTAACAGATCAGAAACGTGCCTCGTGGAACTGATACAATTTATTTATTTACTGTGATGCTACACGCGACAACTTGAAATTTAAATTGTTTCACCAACACCCAAATTTTGCATATTCTAAAACTTCATTTGCATTTGCAGCTGTCGCTAAAAGCATCCTAACGAGGCTACTGATACGCTGAACTTATTTAATATGATTAATCCCATTACCCAAATAGCTGTATAAGATATGTAATGAATAATAAGCACTATGACGTTGTATCATTAAAAGAACGCATTTTATCCCCATCCGTTCTATATTTTATCCCCATATCCGTTCCGTGGATCCGCTCCATCCGCTTCCGCATTTTAACCTAATTGTGACACGTTTCACAATAACAAGTCTGATTGACCTTTGACTTTATATTCCCAATGGCAATGTCACATTGCGTTTCATGAGTCATTTTCAGCTTTTCGCATGTATTCAATAATGTCACTTTAGATTTCAATAGTTTTAACAAGCTTTGATACGGCTCTGTGTACAGATTGATTCTCGTAAGATCTGGTAGAGTTATCGTTAAACTGAACACGAGTTTGCACTGTTGACGTTGTGCTAGACAGTAAACAAAGTAAGTCCTTGACGGTACACATTGGCTACCTCCTTGCTTTTTTCTTCTATTGCATAAAGCTTGTTGGCAAGCCAAGCGATTGGTGATAACACATTGGCTATAACTCAATCCTCGTCTTTCTTGCTTAAATAAAGAGCTCTGCAGACTCGACTGATTTCTTTTAGTCTCGATCACAACTCACAAGTTATTTTCTTCGTAAACGCCATACAAACACCCGCTTCTGTTTAATAGTAATGTTTACGCTTTGTCTGATGCAAATTTCGCTCTTTGTACTGAGTGTAGCCATCTATTCTGTGGTGTAGCACCTTATACAGTCAATGTGGCCAATGTAT